CAGCTTGGGCTATACAGCAAAACCCCCTCTCAAAAAGAGAAAACAAAAGATTCACCTCAAATAGCTCCTATGATTAAAATACTGCTCTGGTACCATCCCCACCCCCAAGAGTAAGATCTGTGTGCCCTGCCACAGCAGGCCACAGCACCATCTGCAAACCAACCCCACTATTCCTCCCCACTACCTCAGCTCCAGCTGCACGGCCCCTGATGCTCCCTGAATCTACTCTCTCTCCTTTCAGAGCGTCACATGTGCTCATCTGAGAAGTCCCTCTCTCCTGTCTCTGCTCATTCTCATCTCTATGGCCTCCAGGCCCCCACTCAAGTCACTTCTGCAGACATATCTTTTTTATGTATGTTTTGTTCACTATGTAGTTCAGGCTGGCCCTAAACTCACTATGTAGCTCTGGCTGGCCTCAAGTGCATGGCAATCCTTCGGCCTCAGTGGCCTGAGTGCTGGGATTACAGGTGTGCGCCACCACACCCAGCTCACAGACAGGTCCTTTTGACCACCGTTTCCCAATCCCAATTTTCATTTCATTTGTTCATTCATTTTTGCTGTCATGGGAACTGAACCCAGCACCTTCCCACTGAGCTAGATCCTCAGAGGCATCTCTCCCATGCCTCTTTTTGAGACAAGGTCTCACTAAACTGCCCATGCTGGATTTGAACTTGTGATCCTCCATTAGCTTCCCAGAGCTCTTGGATGACAGGTGCACCCAGTTCCAACAATTCCTATCTTGCCCTGATGGCATTACTCTATTTAATTAGCTGAAACTATAACATTTAATTGTTTACATTTTTGGCTCTCTGCTCTCACTAGATTTTAAGTTCAGTAAAGGCAATGATTTCTGACATACCTAAAATATTGTCTAGGAAGTATTTGCTGAATGTCTGCCTGAAGTGATGAATAGATGAGATATGGATTAGTAAAGAGGATAAGGATAACAGAGCCAGCAAAATATTTTTAAACCAGAGGGCAGGCCAGTGGACTAAAGTGCCAGGGACCAGGGCTCAGTCCCTGGTGTACCATGCCAGCCCTGCTTCTGGAGTGCGCTGAGACGTTACTGAGACTAGGTTTGGTGACGCGTGCCTGCAATCCCATTGCTTGGGAGGCTAAAAACAGGAGGATCACTATGAGTCAGAGCTGCGTAGTGAGACTCTGTATCAAATACAGAAAAAAAAAAGAGAAAATGATACAAATTCAAATTTCAATGTTTATGAAGAAAGTTCTAGTAAAACACAACCATGTAATTTACATATTTTCTTGACTGGTGAAGTACTGTTCTTCTAATGTTCTTGGTCACAAACCTTAAAACTATTTGGCCTTTTACAGAAAAACTTTGCCAACCCTCATTCTACCAGATTTAATTATTACAGAGTAAGGTCATACTGTTGCAAACACAGAAGCACAGGAGGTCAAGGGTATTTTATTTAGAGCGTCTCTAGTCCCACATCTTCACTGTGGAAAAAAACCAAAGCTCAAAAAGGCAAAGGCAGTTCTCAGTCACACAATAATCTGTGGCATGCCTGGCCCTAGCACCCAGTGCTGACTCCTACTTACCAGGCCAGATTTGTGAAATCACAGCATTTTAATGTATCCAGATGAACCCGAGAAGTTTAAGAAAAACATATCACTTCCACTAATTATCAGAACTAGTGAAAGTGCACTGTCACATACGAGGGCTCCATGGCAAGGAAGCATAAAGCGTCTTCAAGGCTCGACTTTAAAACATACCTGAGGATGCTTGGAAAGTGAAAATTCTTCTCCCCACCTTGGTAAGAAAAATTAAGAGAAGATTAACATTTCTAAAATGTTATACTTGTTCTTGTTCTGAGGACCCTGCACTTACCAGGCAGGCAAGCACTTAATCTACTGAGCTATCTCCCCGGCCTACTCTATATATTTTAAAACAGACTTATGAATGTTGTTCAAGTATTAAAAAGCCAAAGAGATGGGAGCATAGGAGACTGAGATCGCACTTTGGTTTGTTAGCAAACATTCTTTTTTTGGGTTTTTTTTTGCAGTACCAGGGATTAAACTCAGGATCCTACGCTTGCCAGGGAAGTGCTCATTCTACTGGGCTATCTCGCCGGCCCTGTTAGCAGACATTTGTATGGGCAGTCCTTGGGCTCAACAGCCAGAGGCTGCTGCCAAGGTGGACAGGTGCTCCCTCAAGAACAAGTGTCCATAGGGGCCGGGGAGATGGCTCAATAGAATAAGTGCTTCCCTGGCAAGCACAAGGGCCTGAGTTCAATCCCTGATTCCACACACAAAAAAAAGAACAAGTGTCCAAAACAATAAGCTTTTGGTGGGTTCGCAGTAAACACTCATGGATGAGTATGATTTCATAATAGGACACGAGGTTTAAAATATTCACTGTGCTCAAAAATATAGAACCAATTCAGTAAGATCTGCTGTGAAGAAAGCAGGTCAAGCAGCACAAACACAAAACACTACATTCTGCTAACGTGGTTTCAGGGTGGTTTACATGTTATGGTTTTTCCCAAAATGTCCACTACCTACATATACAAAGCCCTGCAATGTGTCCTTTTCTAGAAGTTGGAGAACATGCTCTTCTCTCCCCCTTGACACTAATATGTCAAATCACGATCAAAACAAAGCCTAATAGAAAGAACAAAAGACCACAAGTTCTAGCTCACACTGGGCAACTTAGCAACCCAGTGAGATACTGTCTCAAAATAAAAGTAAATTCTGGGCAATAGCTCAGTGCAAAGTCCCTAGATTTAATCCCCAGTACTGCAATGTTTTCTACTTCTGTTCAACCATACCTTAGCTAAGTACCTCTGGAAAAGTGTTTCTTCACCTGATTAAATTTTTAAGGGGGGAAAAAAAAAAAAGCCAAGTGTGGTGACCCAAGCCTGTAAGCCTAGCACTCAGGAGGCTGAAGCAGGAGGATCACTGCAAGCTGGAAAGCCAGCCTGGGCTACATAGTGCATTCCCTGTCTCAAAAAAACCAATAAATGAATAAATAAAACCTAAAATATTTAATTAAGTGATTGAAGAAACAAGTTTAGTGAAAGTGACCTAATCAAGTTTTAACTCTGGAAGGAAAGGTGTAATTTATATAAAAGGAATTGGTTTGAGTGGGTCTAGAAATGAGAATTTATGAGAAAAGATGAGTCAGTTTTTCCCATAAAACTAGGCTTTATACTCTGCCACTCAGCAATTATATGGCTGTATTTCTCCTTCCTCCTTAAAATCAATAACTGGGAATTAGGCTCTGTGTGTGTGTGTGTTGCTGGGATTGAACCCAGGGCTCTTACTGAGCTATAGCTCCTGCCATGTTTTTATTTTTCATTTGAGACTGAGTCTTGCTAAGTCACTAAGCTGCTGGAACTTATAATCTTCCTGCCTCAGTCTCCCAGTGTGCTGGCTTTACAGGCTTGCACTGCCATGATCTGTAGGACTTAAGTTTATTTTTTCTTTCTTTCTTTCTTTTTTTTGGGGGGTGGGGTGGGGGGAGGAACGGGGATTGAACTCAGGCCCCTGTGCTTGCCAGGCAAGCGATTATTCCACTGAGCCATCTCTCCAGCCCCGGGGACTTAAGTTTAGTAACCAGAGTCAACCTTATTCTGACAAGGCTTGGGTCCTCCAAAGCTCAGGTGACCCTCACCTTGGCGTCTCATAAAGTTCGACAAGGCCCAGCCAAATGCCAATAGACTCTGACTTTACAAATGTTAACTGTCTTTCTGTGAGGAGTTCAGTAAGGAGTACAACTTTAAAATCTTTCTTGACTTGCTATTTGAGGAGTTTTAACTTACCCAATTGAGCGTAATTTGAAATTTCTTTGATCAATACTAAGTACTTTCACTTCCTAAAGAGGAAAAAAAGCTTTATTTTAAAGTTTTATTTTTAAAATATCACATAAACTATTTATGAAAACATGGTTGTCACTTTTCCTAGAAATTAGCATGCAATATCTCTGAAGCAAAGAAAACTTAAATGTAAATTAAAACAGAACAACAAGCTAAATATATTCTTTTTTTCTTACATATTGAAGGGAAGTATTCATAAAAGATACATAGTATAGCCCAATGTAAAGGCACACAACTGTAATCCCAGTACTAGGGAAGCTGAGGCAGGATGACCTTAACTCATAAATTCATATATTAAGTTCAAGGGTACCGTGTACACGTATGTAGTATATAGCCAGACTGTTTTTCTGTTTGTTTGCTTGCTTTTTGAAGACAGGGCCCTGCTATATATTCTAGCCTGGCCTTGAATTCACTATGGACTCCAGGCTGGCCTTAAACTCACAGTGCTCCTCCTGCCTGGCCTCTGAGTCCTGAGATTTCAGGTGTGTCCCACCACACCTAGCTGCCTGTAGCCTACTTTTATACAATACTTCAAGTACGTAAGCTTTATTGGATGAGTGACTCAGCATCTCCACAGTGGAGCTGGTAAAAACCTGGAGGAATGAAGGAAGCAGGGAAGGCCATATGTGTTAAACAACGTTGGGGAGGAGTGGTACTCCCGGGAGAGGTTGACAGCAGCAAGCAATTGCCATCCGGCTTTACTTTTTTTTTTCTTTTTAATGTATTTTAGTTCAGGGTCTACAGTGTCTCACTGCACAGACTGGACTCATAGTGATTCTGTTTTCGGTCTCCCAAGTGCTAGGATTACAGGCATGCATTACCACGCCCAGTCTCTTTTTTAATCTTTTATTTATTTATTTGGAACAGGGTCTTGCTATGCAGCTTGGACTCTTAATCCTTCTGTCTCAGCCTCCCCAGAGCTGGGATTTCAGGCATGCGTCACTGTTTTGGTAGCTGGCTTGACATAGGGCCTGCACAGCATGTGGTACTAGGATTGAATCCTGGTCCTTGCACTTGCTAGGCAGGC